GGCTTTTTTCTTTTTGCTTATGTGGTGCTGAGGAATCGAACCCAGGGCCTCATGCATGCAAGGCAAGTGCTCTACCACTGAGCCACCTTCCCAGCCCCAAGTAATGATTTCTTGTGTAGTGTATATACACAGTGTTTGAGTTTCTCCATTCCCTTGCAGTACACCAGATTCCTAAAATTAGGACTACATACATCTTTACATTATAATTTTTTTGGGGGGGGTGTCGGTCATGGGGCTTGAACTCTGGACCTGAACACCATCCCTCAGCTCTCCAGCTCAAGGCTAGCGTAGCGCTCTACCACTTGAGCTATTGCACTACTTCTAGTTTTCTGAGTGGTTTATTGAAGATAAGAATCTCAGGGACTTTCCTGCCTGAGTTGGCTTTGACTTGTGATCCTTATATCTCAGCCTCCTGAGTAGTTAGGCATGAGCCACCAGCACCTGGCTACATCTTTACATTATACGATTGTTGTTGAACAATGTCTTTTAAGATTAGAGTTACCTAAAATCCCAATTTGAGGGGTGTGATGGTAGCTCACTGGTAGACTTTGCCTAATATCCTGAGGCTGTCAAGTCTGTCCCTAGCACCACAACAAAGGAAAATCTAATTTGATTTTTTCAGGAAAAATTAAGGAAAAGAACTGAAGAACCTGATCGAGATGAGCGTCTAAAAAAGGAGAAACAAGAAAGAGAAGAAAGAGAAAAAGAACGAGAGAGAGAACGAGAAGAAAGGGAAAGAAAAAGACGAAGAGAAGAGGAAGAGAGAGAGAAAGAAAGAGCTCGTGATAGAGAAAGAAGAAAGAGAAGTCGTTCACGAAGTAGACACTCAAGCCGCACTTCTGACCGCAGATGCAGCAGATCTCGGGACCACAAAAGATCACGAAGTAGGGAAAGAAGGAGAAGCAGGTACACAAAAGCTAAAAAGCAGTGTCCGGCTCATGAGGGCACAGTAAACAAGTCCTATTGCTGGTACTGTCCTTTAATGGTATGAAGAAGCTCTTTAAGTATCAGTGTTCCACTTATGGTGATATTATACTAGGTGACCTTGTTATAACTAAAAAATATTGGAAGTTGAAATAGACCAATAGTGTTAACAACACAGTATGTTGTAAGATGTTTACTTTGTGATTGCATGGCTACCCAGCACTAGGATAGCATTATTGCTAGCCTCGGAAAAGAAAAAAATTCTGAATTGGATTTTTGCTATACATACACTTTTATGCCATCATAAAATCAAAATGTTGTAAGCTAAAACATAAGTCATATACTCCATCATTAAGTACTAGATGATAAGATTTGAATCAGTGAGTGGTTTTAGGGCAGCTTCTTTGCTAGGTCCTGTCTATTGAAGTTGGAGAGGTTTTTTTTTTTTTTTTTAATCTGTCATATGCCTTGAATTCATGGCCATGGCGCTGTCTCTGAACTCTCTTGCTCAAGACTAGCACTCTACCAGTTTGAGCCACACTGCCACTTCAGGTTTTCTGGTTAATTGGAGAGTTGCATACTTTCCTGCCCAGGCTGGCTTTGAATCACTAATCTCAGACAGATCTCAGCCTCCTGAATAGTAAGGATTATAGGCATGGCCCACTGGCGCCCAGCTGAGACAGGCTTTTAAGGCAGCAAGGATACCAGATGGTCACCTATGCATCTCTTTGCACTGGGTTCAGGAAGACATAATACAGGAAATCAATTTTACTATTTTAATTAGAATTAAAATCAAGGAGTCTTGAACACAATGATGACACAACGTTATTTGAGATGACTTGAATTTAAAGTTTCAGTAATTCTCAATTCTTAAGATTTATAATGTAAAATTTATTAGGAAAAAACCTAGGCACTGGAGGCTTACCTCTGTAATCCTAGCTACTCAAGAGACTGAAATCTGAGGATCACAGCCAGCTCTTTAACCACCAGAAAATCTGAGGATCAAAGCCAGGCCTTTAACCACCAGAAAATCTGAGGATCAAAGCCAGCCCATTAACCACCAGAAAACCAGAAGTGGAACTGTAGCTCAAAAGTGGTAAAGCAGGCCGGGTGCCAGTGGCTCATGCCTGTAATACTAGCTATTCAGGAGGCTGAGAGCTGAGGATCGTGGTTCAAAGCCAGCCCAGGCAGGAAAGTCTGTGAGGCTCTTATCTCCAATAAACCACACCAAAACCCCAAGTGGTGCTGTGGCTCAAGCAGTAGAGGGTTTGCCTTGAGCTGAAGAGCAGGGACAGCGCCCAAGCCCAGAGTTCAAGCCCCAAGACCGACAGAAAAAAAAAAAACACAACAAAAAGTGGTAGAGCAGGGGCTGGGAAGGTGGCTCAGTGGTAGAGCGCTTGCCTTGCATGCCTGAGGCCCTGGGTTCGATTCCTCAGCACCACATAAGCAAAAAGAAAAAA